GTGGTATGGGAGTAAACTTGGGTCATGACTGGAGATAAGCTTTGGCTTGTATTTAGGGGTCAGCAAAAAAACTGGGTGGGAACAATCTATGCACATTTGCTGACACATTGTGTGTGAATCCAAATGCATTCTACAAACATACAGTCAACCTGCAAGCCTCATACGAAAGCTTGAAATAGTACCTGACTAGACATTGTTAAAACTATAAAAAGTGACATTGACAACACCCTCTGGAAATGTGTTTGTGAGAAGTCAACTCCAAGTTGAAAGGAAACAGTTTTGGGTCAGTTTTATAGTAAACATTTAAAAAAGAAAGTTCACTTTAAAAAAATAAAAATAAATGTAGACTTCTTCATAGAAGAAACAAAAAAAGTTAATGTATTCTATTTTTGCATAGAAGCCAGTAAAGCATTGCAAAAGCAATCAGTAGATTGTGGGTTCAACGCTCTGGCTCCTGCAGACCGTTCCTCCCTTCGATGCCCGTACAAAAGGTACAAAGCATGCAGAAACATGGACATGGACGGGAGGCAGAGTTAATGGATTAGGTGACACCACCGCCCTTGTGTTCCTTTGACTTGTGTTTCTTTGGTTTCACTCTCACCATGTTGTACCCTAAATATGGTTGAAACATGGTTGAAAAGGTGTACTTAGCCTTTAGGTGCAAGTTTAAACAAATATTTTGATCATGTAAGGCATTAGCTTTGTATGTTTTTCTGTATCTTTTCCTAAGAAGCCTTTATCTGATGTTTCAATGAGATAGCCTGCCTGAAAAAAATACCTACTGAAGTGTCCTATCTTTAGAAAATCCACAGTGCTTGGAGAATCATTTGTCTTGTATTACATTTTAGAAACAGACATTTGTAAATATCACCTAAAAAGAGAAATTTGACCTCCAATGATTATAGTAAAACAATAAATAAAATAGAATTGTCTAGGTTAGCCACTAGAAGTAGGGTAGATTAGCTACAACAATGACTGCCTAACTGCTAAAGAAATGTTACAATATCAGCTGCGCAGGCAGTGCATCGTTTTTAATGCGTCAGCTGAAGAACTGCATAGCACTGCAAAGCAGAGCCAAAGTGTGTCATTATATATATATATATAGCATTTAGGGACCCAAGCTTGTTTCACATTGCACCCTAATATAAAATGGCTGTAATATAAAACATGGTCCGAAAAGTAAACTTAGCAAAACAATGCACACTGGGATTGCCTTATCAACAAAGCATTGCTGGGAATCTGTGCCAGAAATGCAGGAATATGAGAACTAGTAATCTGCCCTTAGTAAACATGGCCACTGTCAGAAGACTGGGGAGAAAAGAGAAATAAGGCATGCAAAGAATACAAAGCCGGCAATTACCTGGCAATTTTCTATGTTTATAGACTGTCATCACTAAACATTTCTAAAGGTGTGTTTGTTATTTTAAAAATAAGGGTAAAGGTCTGTTTTAAGTGCCTTAACTGTACATACTGCCAGTAGCAACATTTCCTGTTGAAGGCTGACCAACCACATTCAGCTGCCTCACAATGAGCTGCAACACTGCCAGCCTGCTGTGTGCTCCCTTAGTTGGGTTGTGCTGCCCGAGGGCCTCACACTTAACCCCTTCGTGACTGACGACGTACAGTGTACGTTCGCAACATAAAAATTTGCTACTACCACCATTATATGTGATAAAATAAAATGTGGAATATAACGGGTTCAAAAAATGAAAAAAAAAGTCATGAAGGGGTAAAGGAATGGTTAACACCATA